CTGTACTTGCTTCTTCGGCTGCCAATAAACTAACTTCATCTTGAATAGCCTCTAGTTTTTTCTGTTCTTCAATTATTTTCTTGGTATGGAAATTATCATCAAGGTGTGGCAGTGATACATACCTAGAAATTAAAAAGTTTCTTATTAAGCCTTGTTTCCATATAATCCTTACAGTCGCTAGGATCACCTTGATCGCTGAAAATGTGGCTCAAAGGTCGTAGGACCATATGGAAACATTCTTTTAGCAATCCTGGTGATCCTAGTGATCTCGATTGCTGGAATCGCTCATATTCTATCTTGACGATTGAGGTCGCTATGATAACCAGGATCGCTTGACAGTGTTTTCATATGATCGTTACCATCGTTGACCCACATACTTTTGGTGATTGTGGAGATCCTAAGGATTGCAACGATTATATGGAAACCAGGCTTTATTATGGATTTATTATGGACCTTTTGATAATGGTTCACACTTAAATGCACTACACAGTTTAACCTTTGGTATTAGGCAGTTGTGTAAAAAGATAAATTTTAACACCATAAAAAAAGTATGTGAAATAACTTACTGACGTTTCGGACGTCAATCCTTCGTCAGAGTAAAGAGATGGAACTGGCACTTATGATATTATTAGTTAAGTTTGGAGAGAGAGAGAGAGAAAGGAAAAAGGCTCTTTCTCCTCCTCCCTTTCCTTACCAGACTCTCTCTTTCTCAGGCAAGAGAGCCTGAGACTGAGTTTAACCAGCATTACCTCAGGATAGATTGTCTGCCTCCATATGTCATCACTCTCTTTACATTCCCTCTTGATTCCAAGGAATTTACTGCAGCACGTCGATCATATTTAAACAACTGCATMTCATCACTGATATCCTATAAAAATAATATAATATTGTATTAAATTAGACATGTTAAAACAATTGACTATTCAAATTCTGGCGAGTAAAGCTTCAATTTATGTGTAAATTGATGGCATGTTTATTCTATTGTTTTCTAACCTAGGAACAAGGCTGTTCCTGTCTGAACTGGAATTTTATATGAATAGTCAATATAATAACCATGATTAATCAATGTAAGCAATAAATAATGTCCATGGTTGACTTGAATTTGATGCAGTCGTGTTTTMGATTTTGCATTATTGAAACTGAGGTGACTAAAAATGTCCTTTCATCTGTCATTTATAAGATCAAATCTTACAATATCTTCATTTACAAATGATAAAGGGATAAAATACAGTACATTGGTCCAATGGCACATGTATTTTCTTTTTCAAACAGAAGCTTGTAAGGGATGTCACCTGAACATGGCCCTTTGAAATTAAGGTGTTTTTACCTTATTTGTGACGCCTTCTGGTCCTTTGCTCTCTATGTAGTCATAAATCTGTTTGGTCATTGGTAGTTCCATAACTAAGTTTGGGTTCTGAACAATTGTATCTGCAGCACCAAATGAAGGAATACACAGATATTATAAAAAAATACTTAGTACTATTATATGTGCCTCCCAAAGACTTTGACAAATTTAATACATTTATGCGATTATAAGTAATATAAAAAAATTATGAAGCTTTTTACTAATGGGTCCCCCTCCCCCCTCCC